AAAAAAAAAAAAAAATTAAATCCCGCATTCTGGGGATGTGATTGTGGGAAAAAACACCTTTCAAATGTGGGGTTTTTTTACAAAAAAATGTGTTCTTTAAACATTTAAACTGTGTTTTTTTGTAAAAAAATCTTTAAAATGTGGGGTTTTTTTGTAAAAAATCCTCTAAATGTGTTTTTAAACCTTTAAAATATGTTTTTTGTCAAAAAAAAACCCTTGAAACTGTATTCTTTAAAGTTTTAAAATGTGGGGTATTTTTGTAAAAAAACCCTTTTAAATGTGTTTTTTTTTACAAAACACTCTAAAATGTGTTTTTCAAACCTTTAAAATGTTTTTTTATTAAAAAAAAACCTTTAAAATCTGTTTTTTTGTAAAAAAACCCCTCTAAAATACGTTTTTGAAACCTTTTAAATGTATTTTCTGGTAAAAAAAAAATCTTTAAAATGTGGGTTTTTGGTTAAAAAACCCTCTAAAATTTGTCTTTCAAACCTTTAAAATATGTTTTTCTGTAAAAAAAAATAAAATGTGTTTTTTAGATAAAAAAAATGTTCTAAAATGTGCTTTTCAAACCTTTAAAATGTTTTTTTTTGTAAAAAAATCTTTAAAAAGTGTTTTTTTTTTGTAAAAACCCCTCTAAAATGTGTTTTTCAAACTTTGAAAATTTTTTTTTGTTGTTAAAACACCCTTTTAAATGGTTTTTTTTTTAAAATCCTCTAAAATGTATCTTTCAAACGCATAAAATGTATTTTTTTATAAAAAAAATTAAAATGTGGGGTTTTTTTTTGTAAAAAAACCTCTAAAATATGTTTTTCAAACCATTAAAATGTAATTTTTGCAAAAAAACCCCTTTCAATTGTGGGGTTTTGGTTAAAAAACCCTTTAAAATGTTTTTTTCAAGCTTTTAAAATGTATTTTTTTGTAAAAAAACCTTTAAAATGTGGGGGTTTTTTTAAAAAAAAAGTGTTTTTTAAAGTTTTAAACTGTGTTTTTTTTGTAAAATAACCCTTTAAAATGTGGGGGTTTTTTTGTAAAAAATCCTCTAAAATGTGTTTTTCAAACCCATAAAATGTATTTTTTATAAAAATTTAAAATGTGGGGTTTTTTTGTAAAAAATCCCTCTAAAATATGTTTTTCAAACATTTAAAATGTGTTTTTTTTAAAAAAAAAACCTCTAAAATATGTTTTTCAAACCATTAAAATGTGATTTTTTTTGCCAAAAAACCCTTTCGATTGTGGGGTTTTTGTAAAAAAACCTCTCTAAAATGTGTTTTTCAAACCTTTAAAATGTGGATTTTTGTAAAAAAAAACATTAAAATGTGGGGTTTTGGTTAAAAAAAACTCCAAAATTTTTGTTTCAATCCTTTTAAATGTGTTTTTTTTGTAAAAAAAAAATTAAAATGTGGGTTTTTTTGCAAAACCCATAAAATGTGTTTTTCAAACCACTAAAAGGTATTTTTTTGTAAAAAACTCCTCTAGAATACGTTTTTCAAACCGTTAAAATGTGGATTTTTGTAAAAAAAATCTTTAAAATGTATTTTTTTGTAAAAAAATCTTTAAAATGTGTGTTTTTTGTAAAAAAAAACCCTTTAACCTTTTTTTGGTTAAAAAACCCTCTTAAATTTGTCTTTCAAACCTTTAAAATACGTTTTTTCTAAAAAAAAAAAACCATTAAAATATGGTTTTTTTTGTAAAAAAAAAATCTAAAATGTGTTTTTCAAACCCATAAAATGTTTTTTTTTTATTAAAATAAAATTAAAAGTGTTTTTTGCAGGCTGACCTTGAGGTTTTTGGGCGGTTTGAAATGGAAATAAGAGCTGAGTCGGTTCCGGGAGGCGCCGAGCTCYGTCAGGTACGGCATGTGGCTCACACAGGACAGGTCTAAAAATAAAATAAAAATATTTTTTTAAAATAAAATATAAAATTCCATCCCTGAAAATAGAAATTATCATGGGAAAAAAAAAATAAAATGTGTAAATGACAAAGAAATGCCATCCATGGATCGGGCACGGCGTGGGGCTGACACAGGAGAGATCTGGAATAAAATAAAAATATATTTTTAAAATAAAATATAAAATTCTGTGCTTGAAAATAGAGATTATCACAGGAAAATGTGATCATAAATATTCCTAAACCACAAAGAATAAAAAACCATAATTCGTGAAGAATAAATATTTGTAAACCATAAAAAATATCTGTAAACTACAAAGAGTAAATAATTGTAAACCACAAAAAATAAAGATCTGAAAAGCACAAAAAATAAAAATTTGGAAAAAACAAAAAAATAATAAATATTTGTAAACCATAAAGAATAAAAATCCATAAATCACAAATATAAAAATGTGTAAATGACAAAGAAGTGCCATCCATGGATTGGGTACGGTGTGGGGATGACAAACGACAGGTCTGGAATAAAATAAAATAAAATAAAATAAAATAAAAATAAATTTTTATTTTAAAATAAAATATAAAATTCTGTGCATGAAAATAGAGATTATCATGGGAAAAAAAAAATAAAATGTGTAAATGACAAAGAAATGGCATCCATGGATCGGGTACGGCGTGGGGCTGACACAGGACAGGTTTGGAATAAAATAAAATAAAAATAAATTTGATTTGGAAATAAAAATATGAAAATAAAAAAAAATAAAAATTCGTTAATTATAAAAAATTAAAATCCATAAATCACAAAGAAATCCCATCCATCCATCGGGTACGGCATGTGGCTCACACAGGACAGGTCTGGAATAAAATATAAATAAAAATAAATTTGATTTGGAAATAAAAATATGAAAATAAAAAAAAATTCTGAAAATAAAAAAAATATTCCTAAATCACAAAAAAACCAAAATCTGTAAAAGCACAAAGAAATGGCNAATAAAATATAAATAAAAATAAATTTGATTTGGAAATAAAAATATGAAAATAAAAAAAAATTCTGAAAATAAAAAAAATATTCMTAAATCACAAAAAAAYCAAAATCTGTAAAAGCACAAAGMAATGSCATCCATGGATCGGGTACGGCGTGGGGCTGACACGGGAAAGGGCTGGAAAGAAAATAAAAATAGATTTGAATTTTAAAATAAAATTAAAAATTAATTTGGAGAATAAAAAAGAATAAAAAATCTGAAAATCATAAAGATAAATATCCATAAATCACAAAAAAATGCGTAAAAAATCTGAAAATCATAAAGAACAAATATCCGAAAACCATGAAAAATAAATATCTATAAACCACAAAAAAAATCTCTAAACTACAAAGAATAAATATTTGTAAACCACAAAAAATAATAAATATCTGTAAACCATAAAAAATAAATATCCATAAACCACAAAAAAATCCATAAACCAAAAAGAATAAAAATCTGAAAATCACGAAGAATAAATATTTGTAAACCATAAAAATAGAAATATCTTAAAGGTTTTAAAAAAATATTTTACAGATTTTTAAAAAATATTTTACAGGTTTTTTGAAATATTTTACAGATTTTTATAAATATTTTACAGATTTTTAGAAATAATTTACAAATTTAAAAAAATATTTTACAGATTTTAAAAATATTTTCAAGGTTTTTATAAATATGTTAGAGGTTTTTAAAAATATTTTACACATTAAAAATATTTTACAGATTTTTAATAATATTTTAAAGGTTTCTAAAAATATTTTACAGTTTTTAAAACATATTTTACATATTTTAAAAAATATTTTAAAGGTTTTTATAAAATATTTTACATATTTTAAGAAAAAATTTTTAAAAGGTTTTTATAAATATTTTAAAGGTTTTTATAAATATTTTAAAGGTTTTAAAAAATATTTTACAGGTTTAAAAATATTTTAAGAAATATTTTACATATAAAAAAAAATTTTAAAGGTTTTTATAAATATTTTACATATTTTAAAAAATATTTTTAAGGTTTTTATAAAATATTTCACTAATTTTAAAAAATATTTAAAATGTTTTTATAAAATATTTGACATATTTTAAAATTTTTTTAAATGTTTTTATAAATATTTTAAGGTTCTTTAAAATATTTTACAGATTTTTAAAAATATTTTAATTTTTTTTTTAATATTTCAAATGTTTTTATAAATATTTTAAATGTTTTCATAAATATTTTAGAGGTTTTTATAAATATTTTCCAGATTCTTAAAAACATTTTACAGATTTAAAAAAATATTTTACAAATTCTAGAAGTATTTTACGGGTTTTTAAAAATATTTTAAAGGTTTTTTTAAATATTTTACAGATTTTTAAAATTTTTTTAAATGTTTTTGTAAATATTTTAAAGGTTTTTAAAAATATTTTACAGCTTTTTAGAAATATTTTAAAGGTTTTCAAAAATATTTCAGAGATTTAAAAAATATTTTCAGATTTTTTAAAATATTTTACAGGATTTTAAAAATATTTTATAGATTTTTAAAAAATATTTTACAGACTTTGAAAAATTATTTTACACATTTTTAATTTTTTCATTTATTTTTATTAAATCTTACTAATTTTATTAAATTTTTTATTTATTTTATTTATATTTAAATTAAATTTTATTTGTATCTAAATCAATTTAAATTTAAATTAATTCTACACATATAAATAAATTTTGATTTAAACTAATTTTAGTTTTTTTAATTTTTATTATTTTTTTTAAATTTTATTAAATTTCATTAAATTTTATTAAATTTCATTAAATTTTATTAAATTAAAATTTTTAGTTCATTTATTTTTACATATAAGAATATTTTATGTCTTTTTATAAATATTTTAGAGGTTTTTATCAATATTTGAAATGTTTTTAATAAATATTTTAAATATTTTTATCAATATTTTGGATATTTTTATCAATATTTTAAATGTTTTTATCAATATTTTAAATGTTTTTATCAATATTTTAAAGGTTTTTACAAATATTTTACATACTTTTAAAAATATTTTACAGATTTTAAAAATAAATTTTAAAGGTGTTTATAAATATTTTACATATTTTAATTTTTTTTTAAATGTTTTTATAAATATTTTAAGGTTTTTATAAATATTTTAATGGTTTTATAAATATTTTACACATTAAAAATATTTTACAGGTTTTTTTAATATTTTACACATTAAAAAATATAGAACAGGTTTTAAAAATTATTTCACATATTTTATAAAATTTATTAAAGGTTTTTATAAATATTTTACATATTTTAATTTTTTTATATATGTTTTTATAAATATTTTATGGTTTTTATAAAATATTTTAAAGGTTTTTATAAATATTAAAACATTTAAATATAATATAAATATAAATATAAATATTTAAACATTAAAAATATTTTACAGGTTTTTAAAAAATATTTTACATGTTTTTAAAATTTTTACTTATTTTTGTAAAATTTTATTAAATTTTATTAAATTAAATTTTTTATTTCACTTATTTTTACATCTAGAATTATTTTAAATATTTTAAAAATTTTTTAAAAATGCTTTTATAAATATTTGAAATGTTTTTATCAATATTTGAAGTGTTTTTATAAATATTTGAGATATTTTTATCAATATTTTAAAGGTTTTTATCAATATTTTAAATGTTTTTAACAAATATTTTAAATATTTTTATCAATATTTTGGATATTTTTATCAATATTTTAAATGTTTTTATCAATATTTTAAAGGTTTTTACAAATATTTTACAGATTTTAAAAAATATTTTACATATTTTAAAAATATATTTTAAAGGTTTTTATAAATATTTTACATATTTTAAATTTTTTTAAAATGTTTTTATAAATATTTTAAGGTTTTAAAAATATTTTAAAGGTTTTTATATATATATTACACACTAAAAAATATTTTACAGGTTTTAAAAATATTTTACAGGTTTTTAAAATTTTTACTTATTTTTGTAAAATTTTATTAAATTTTATTAAATTAATTTTTTTATTTCACTTATTTTTACATCTAGAAATATTTTAAATATTTTTAAAATCTTTTTAAAATGCTTTTATAAATATTTAAAATGCTTTTATAAATATTTAAAATGTTTCTATAAATATTTGAAATGTTTTTGTAAATATTTTAAATGTTTTTATCAATATTTTAAATGTTTTTATAAATATTTTAAATGTTTTTATCAATATTTTAAATGTTTTTACCAATATTTTAAAGGTTTTTACAAATATTTTACAGATTTTAAAAAATATTTTACATATTTTTAAAAATATATTTTAAAGGTTTTTATAAATATTTTACATATTTTAATTTTTTTTAAAAATGTTTTTATAAATATTTTAAGGTTTTTATAAAATATTTTAAAGGTTTTTATAAATATTTTACACATTAAAAAATATTTTACAGGTTTTAAAAATATTTTACATGTTTTTAAAATTTTTACTTATTTTTATAAAATCTTATTAAATTTTATTAAATTAATTTTTTTATTTCACTTATTTTTACATCGAGAAATATTTTAAATATTTTTAAAATTTTTTAAAATGTTTTTATAAAAAAAAAACATAAATTTATAAATAAAAAATAAAAAAAAAAAAAATTAAAAATATTTTACACATTAATTAAATTTTTTTAATAAAAAAAATTTTAAAAATTTTTTAAAATGTTTTTATAAATATTTTAAAGGTTTTTATCAATATTTTAAATGTTTTTATCAATATTTTAAAGGTTTTTATCAATATTTTAGATATTTTTATCAATATTTTAAAGTTTTTTATAAAACTTTAAAATGTTTTTATAAATATTTTAAATGTTTTTATAAATATTTTAAAGGTTTTAATCAATATTTTAAATATTTTTATCAATATTTCCGAGGTGTTTAAATGATTTTTGGTGTTTTTTACCGCTGATTTGATTGCAGGAGAGCTCCAATCTCTGCAGGTGAG